GATGTGAGTATCAGTCACATGGAGGCAGGACTCAAAAGCCTGAATTTTGCCTGAAACTCTCAGACTGAAGAAGTCTCTTGGAGGAGAGACGAAACGTTTCTTTAGAGAAGAACCCGTCCAGAGGACCTATACAATTTTTTTTTCTTTTGATTTTTTACCTGGATTACTGAGATGCATCAGGACACTTTTGTCTTCAGCTACATTTCTTTGAATTTTTTTCCTGAAAGGTGAATTTGCTGACATCATCTTCTAAACACAAGTTTGGATGTTTAGACTTTATGTGCTAAATGACACGATGTAGTAAGAAAAAAACTATTATTAAAGTAAATGTTGTTTCAAAATATCTCTCAATCATTAGAGAGTGTTCTCTACTAAAACAATTTCAGCTCATTCACTCATTGATGGAAAAAGTTTGAACCAAAGCAGCTCCCAGTAGAAGTTCATCTCTCTGCTTATGATTAGAGGCTAAATTAATTAGCGTCACATGCTAACAAAAATGACAAATATTCTTCAGATGCCACAGGTCACATGTTTCAAATGGGAGTAGGGATGTTTTGAACAAGTCCATCTTATAACAAATCAAACGTTATAAATGTTTTTTTTTCCATTTTTTATAAAACTCAAACATTTGTCAGCAAATGTTTGTCAAGAAAGATAAACGTTTTACAAAGTAAGACTTCTGCTTTTAATAAATTTAATGTATTTATTATCCACACAGTCACATTTGAACAAATATTACTATTTTATGATCATATTCACACTTAGAGCTTTAACTATGTTTAAAGTGCCTGTGACATGCATATTCTTCAAATTCAAAAAGTCAAAACATCTTTATATTTAAGAAAGTTGCAATAATACACACGATTTAACCCATTGTGTCCCAAAACTGGCATATTTTCTTTTGAACTTGACTCAGCCAAAGTGAAACAGGAAGTGACATCAAAGGGGAACTCTCTGGTCTTTATTGAAGCAATACATTTTGAACTCTGACTCTTTGTATCTCTGATAGAGACTCAAAATAATCTAAAAAAAACATCAGATTCTTCTCTACAGTCTGTGCCGTTAGCCATTTTATCAATGCTTTGTTCCATGCAGAAATTCCCCTTTGACATCACTTCCTGTTACTTCACAGGCAAATATCTGAACAACTGTTCATCTCAGCGACATGAAATTTCTTTTGCAATATTTTTTCAATGTCCTCTTTCTAAAAATGCCTTCATATGTATTACAAAAATTTGACCTCACAGGCACTTTAAAGTCTCTGAGACCAGACGCAACAAACAGCGATCAAATGGTGGAAGCTATAAAAAGCTCAACAATTTGCAAAGTAAATGAAATTTTGTGCAAACAGAAAATCAGAAGTTGTAATTTTGTCATCGAGTTAGAACCCAAAAAGGTGTAATGTGTGAAAACAAACATTCTCGTGTGTCTGTGAGCTCGTCTCTCACCTGTCAGCTGAGCCTGCTGCTATTTTGCTGCCATCAGTGGACCAGGAGCACCTCAGCAAGTTCTGAACAAACAGGGAAAGAGGTAACGGACTTTATCAGCAAGAAGAGATCGCATTTGTGAACCACTTTCTGATAGAATCAAAAGTTATTGTTAAAATGCTGTAATACTGTAAATATCTCTATATAAAAGGGTCTGTGTAGATGTAAAGGAGAAACAATCCTTTTAATTAATCCTATTACCTTTTCAAAGTTGTGAACATTGCCTTGGAAAATCTTCACACATCTCTCCTTGGGTGCAAACGGTCGCACGTCCCAAATTCGCACTGCGAGGACACAGGAAGTGGTCAGGATTCAAGCGCGTATTATTCGACGTTACGAGCCACACAAGAACCCAGGACTACCTGTGTTGTCCATGGAGTTAGACAGGAGGTAGGAGCCCTCGGAGCTCAGGCTGAGTCCGGTCACTGAGTCGCCGTGGCCGTGCATGTTGTAGATCAGCTTATTCTGCCGGAGATCCCACACCTGAACGAGACGAGACGTTTCAGACGGGCTTTGCCACGAGCACTTACACGTTTTCTTAAGATTCTTTTCTTGGCTTTCTGCTCGTCCAGGAGCTCGGCACCTTGATGTCGTTGTCGATGCCTCCCGACAGGATCTGATCGCTGGTGTCGTTAAACGTCACGGCCAGAACCTGGTAGGTGTTCTGGAAGGTGTGGACGGCCGCTTTCTTGCGGATGTCCCACAGCTGCGGTGCAAACAAATACAAATGTCCTGATGCATCTCAGTAATCCAGGTAAAAAATCAAAAAGAAAAAAATTGTATAGGTCTTCTGGACGGGTTCTTCTCTAATGAAACGTTTCGTCTCTCCTCCAAGAGACTTCTTCAGTCTGAGAGTTTCAGGCAAAATTCAGGCTTTTAAGCCCTGCCTCCATGTGACTGATACTCACATCACATGGCTATCGTTGACACCTAATTAACACCTATTGTTAACAGGGGGTGGAGTGATACTGGCAATAGCCGCACTGTAGGAGGGGGACAACTGAAAACGGAGGCCTCCACCTCTGTTTAACGATGGACAGTCTTTCTTCACAAAAATGGCTTATTTTACTCCTCTCTCAAACCAACGTTCCTCTCTATCAAGAATGAGAACATCCTCATCTCTGAAAGAGTGACCGCTGGCCTGTAAATGAGTGAAAACTGCGACCAGTTATACATCGGGGAAACAAAGCAGCCACTGTTCAAAAGAATGTCCCAACACAGACGAGCTACATCTAATGGCCAGAACTCTGCAGTTTTCACTCATTTACAGGCCAGCGGTCACTCTTTCAGAGATGAGGATGTTCTCATTCTTGATAGAGAGGAACGTTGGTTTGAGAGAGGAGTAAAAGAAGCCATTTTTATGAAGAAAGACCGTCCATCATTAAACAGAGGTGGAGGCCTCCGTTTTCAGTTGTCCCCCTCCTACAGTGCGGCTATTGCCAGTATCACTCCACCCCCTGTTAACAATAAGTGTTAATTAGGTGTCAACGATAGCCATGTGATGTGAGTATCAGTCAGTGCTTAAAAGCCTGAATTTTGCCTGAAACTCTCAGACTGAAGAAGTCTCTTGGAGGAGAGACGAAACGTTTCATAGAGAAGAACCCGTCCAGAGGACCTATACAATTTTTTTCTTTTTTAACAAATACAAACGTGTCTGAATCTACAGCTACATGACTGCTGTGCAATAAAACCTTAAGGTGTTTATTTCAAAGATACTTCACCTTGATCGTCCCATCGTCGCTGCCCGTGCAGACCAGTTGGGGCCCTCGGCGCGCCGGGTAGCAGGTGTTAACGAACGAGGTGTGGCCCTTTAGGCGTTTGATCCTCTCACCTGTTTCGCTGTCCCACACACCAACGGTCTTGTCTGTGCTGGCTGAAAACAGCAAGCTGGAAAAGAAAAGAACGACACAACTCATCAGTTCGAGCAAAACTAAATTCACCACTAACCCCACAGGAAGTGCGTTTTAAAGCATTCCGACCTGCCGTCTGTGTTGTAATGCAGCTCCATCACTGCTCCGCTGTGACCCTTCAGGGTGGCGTAGTTCTCACAGTCTCCATACACGTTCCACATGACTGCAGCAGGGAAACAGGGTGAAGTCTCTCACAGCGACGGGATGCGTTTGAACAAAGATTTAGTTAAACAGTGATAACGGCTTACGTATGAGCCTGTCAAATCCCGAGGAGGCCAACGTGGCTCCGTTGGGGTGGAACTTGCAGCAGTAGACCTCGCCCTCGTGGCCGGACATCAGCATGATGGGAGCCTGCAAGCTGGAGGTCCGTGGGGGGCCCTGAGGGAGCAACAGAGCAGGAACGACTGATTATTATGCTGACACGAAAAACACAAGATCTGCACATCATTTGTGCTTTTATTTGGTCAGTGATCAATGGTTTTAACACTGACACAATTTTTTTTGTTAATTTGGTGTTGTTTTTTCTTACTGGTAATCAATTTCTCTTCCATTTTAGAGATAATTTCCTTCCACATCCCTACATCATTACTTCTAATCATCTTGTCAGGGGAAAACAGCTTCACTTCTAACTTCTGAGAAATACAAACACATTATGTGCTGTAGTGTTTGTGGGACTCAAACTATAGAAAGTCAAATGTTTTTTACAAGAAACAGTTGTTTATTTTTGGTGTTGTTGTAAAGCTTCAAAAAGATTGTTTAAGTGAACATAAATATCATTGTTTCAAACATTACAGGTTCAAGCTGAATTTGATTTTAAAATTGCAACGTATTTCCACTGTATTCAGTCATTTAGTCTTTAGATTGTCAAAAGATAAATGACGTGTTTGTTACAATAAAAAAAAATAGCACTGACCGAGGCCACGAGTTGCTGAGACTGAGCCGCCGACACCAGCTCCATTCGGGGCCGCTTCATGACGCTGGGAACCACCGCCATGTCTCCGGGTCTCTTGATGGGTTCAATCATCGCGGAAACAGTCCACAAAGACAGCCAAAACGAGTAAAAACAAATATACAGCTCACAAAAATAAACGAACGTCTACGATTAGATACGGCTAGGGAAGCACCAACGAAGAAGACAGACAGAAGCACTTCCGCTTGCTTTGAGGCATCTGATTGGTTGAAACTCGCACCGGCTTCGGTGATTGGTTGCTTTTTTTTTTACTGTGTTAATTGAACCGGATGTAAACAACCGGAGCTCAGCCACTACAAAAGCAGGTAATAAAAATATTGCTTTTCAGATTTATAACTACGTTTTGTGAAGTGTTTTAATCTAACCCGAATTATCAATTTTTTATGTATGAAGTTATTTTTTATGTAACAAGTTAAATAAATATAGACAGACGTTCAGTAAACATCGATAGCTAGTGTAGCAGGTTCTCCTCTACGTTACCATGTAAAAAGCTAGTAATTTAGTTGTTTTTACTCAGTTTACTTATTTGTTTTTTACGTGCAGTGATACACTATAATTTTTTTTAAAAAGTCCTGCAATATAGAAAAAAGCCGGATGTATGTTTGTGAGGCTAAAGAAGCTAAAATAGCCGAAGCTAGTTTAGTAATGTAGTTTTTCTAATAAAATACAACAAATTGTGGCATAAACTCTTTATATTGTAGAGACTCCTTAGGGCAACATCATTTATTTGAAACCAGATTTAAAAAACGTTATATTATGCTTTTATTTCAGTGTTATAAAAAAATATTTCATTGGCCTTTAATAGGAATGGCGACCCCTGATATGAAGTAGCCAAAAGAACATTAACAACAGTGATATACCTTATTGGATGCCTCTAAATTGTACGTTATGTAAATGCAAATACTTGAAATAAGGTTAAAATAGGTCAAATCTGTTCAGAGTCCAAAAGGGGAGTTACAGCATTTTAAGCAATTTGTCACTTTTCTCCAATTTTGTATTGTATTTCAATGACACTGCAAACAGAAAAGATGTTTAATCATCTGTCTGCCAGACACTCTGACATACACCTGTGGAGACCATGTCCAGTCGCGACGGGTCGAGTCGAGAACCAGCAGGACTGGACGGTCTGCCACCGCTGTACAGCATCGCCAAGGGAGAGGTAGTTTCTGTGCAAACTTATGGAGCCTTTGTCCGATTGCCTGGTTACAGGAAGGAAGGTAGGTAAAAGTTTTGTTTATGAAAACATACAGTTAAGACTGAAAGACTCATGAAATAAATCAAATCATGATGAAATACAAAGTAAAGAAATGAGAAGAGATGTTTACTGAGTAAACTGTAGAACCCAACACTTACATAAATAAATTGATAATTTCCAAAACTCTAGGAAGTCATGTCTCTTCAACAATTTATTACCACTCTCATAACTATTTTATTATCAATGTCAATAGATTTTGTAGTAGAAGAAGTGATGGAAAAATAGACATTTTGTTTAAAAAACTCCAAGTCACTTTTTTTTAATAGTCATGTTTTTCTCCAATAGGGGGCAACAATGTGCAAAGTTTGTTTCAAATCTTTATTCTCAGCAAAACAGAAAGTTTTTTTTTGTTTTTTTTTTTTGCTCAGTCATTTTGTGTGGAATCAACGTGGACACCCTGTAACCCTTACATCCACAGGTTTGGTCCATGTGAGCGAGATGTCCGCCTCCAGGGTCGAAAGCGCCTCTGAGATCGTGGATGTCGGGGAACAAGTGTGGATCAAAGTGATCGGACGAGATGTGAGAACACAAACACACACAGTAGCTTTTTAAAACCCGCTGTCGGCGCAGAAAAACACCCAACAACAGTTCTGCTCTCGGCCTGTCAGATTCAGGGAGACAAGGTGAAGCTGTCGTTCTCAATGAAAGCTGTCAATCAGGGGACGGGGCGGGACCTGGACCCTAACAACGTTCAGGCAGAGTAAGTGCTTTAGATTCATCTGTGTGCGTGTTAGCAGAGATAAGTGTTTCGTATCGGTGTGTTTGCAGGCAGGATGCAAGGAGAAGAAGAAATTTTAGAGATCAAGGCAGCAACAGAATCACTCTGGAAGCCGTTCTCAACACGACGTGTTCAAAGTGCGGCTGCAAAGGTGCCACATCAACACAAATTGTCACTTAAAGTTCACGCCGCAGGTTTTATTAACTCATCACTCTCCTTCAGGCCACTTTACAAAGGACTGCTTCTCGGCTCCGGGCTCGCAGTACGCTCTGGTTCCTGAAGAGGATGATGAAGAGTCACAGCAGACCTCCTCAGCAGCCCAGCCTCAGGATGCTGACAAAAAGAAGAAAAAGAAGGTCCCACTTGTCTCTCACTACCCTTTTTTTTCTGTGTTCTCAGCCTAATTGTCCAGCAGATCATGTGACCACACAGCTTCATGAGAATGTTTGAACATTGCAGTGATTGTGTTTGCTGATGCCGCGGTTTAACTTTGAAGTAGCGAAACCGCTGTCAGCTGTCTGTGCGTTTCTTCTATGACGTCACAAAGCAATAACCTCTCATTCCCTTATGCTGAAGGAGAAGAAAATGAAGAAGAAGAAGAAGAGGGAACGGAAGGAGTCGGGCAGCGATAGCGGCAGCAGCGGGTGCAAATCCAAGAAGCGACGCCGCAGCAGCAGCAGCGTGGAAAGGCACGACAAAAAGAAGAAGAAGCACAAAAAGGAGAAATTACACAAACGCAGTTGAGGCAGGCGCAACACCAAGCACACACTGGATTAAACGGCGAAACACATCTTTGTTCATTACTATCCATAATAGCTCAGAGAAACTTTAAACTGGTTAGTTTCTTACATTTATTGAGCAAATAAGAAAATAATTTCTGGTGAAAATCTTGTAAAATAAACCAAAAGAAAAGGTCATGTGACCTGCTGCGCTTGTCCTATAGTACCCCCCCTGACTTCCTGACAGTGACAGGACGCAACACTTCCTTTGTAATCAAATATATGCGAGTTATATGGCAGCAGGACCCCTTTTGAATGCACACACAGCTCGGCGCTATCAGGTTTCTGTGAAGCAGACAGCAGGTGGTAAAACGCCTGAACCACACACACACACACAATGTGCATTTATGTCTTTTATGTGCATGTTTCTGTGTGTCTGACCCCAGCTCATTGTTCTGAATGTTAACGTCTAACTTCATTAAAGCTGGTTTTATCAGTAAAGCTAACAGAACACCTCCTGACTTCTCTGTTGAAGGACCTTGAAGTCACAAAGGGGCTGTTAAAATGTGCTTCAGGACTCTGAGGCAGTTAATGTTTTCAGGTTTGGTGGCCTGTTTGTTTTTATTTAGTTTTCTTTCTTCGTCATAATTCATGAAAGGTTAACCACAACAGGTTTAAGATAAGAGAATCTACATCACGGTTTGTTTGGGTTTTTTTTTTTTTTTTTTTTGCTGCATTGACCCAGTTTCAAGCTTCGACTTGTGAGATCGATAGATTATTTCCAGATGCTTCACTTCGAAATATCTCCACTGAATTCCAGAATCTCAACAATCTTCATCTGATCTTCAATCTTTAGTCGCTCGTTTCGTTCGACATCACTTGTTTTTGCACGTTGTTGGAATACAGCTTCTCCTTTTTTTTTAAACAAAACAAAAAAAACGTCTGATTCAAGGATTTGGTATAAGAATTTAATTAAGAGAAAATAAAAGTTCCTGTATAAAACAAAGGCGTTATTTGATAAAACCACGTTTTACAAGGACACTTTCAGTGTTGAAGGACATTTTGAGCATTTTTAATTAATGATAAATACTTACTGCAGCTGTGAGCAATCTCTGGTTTTGTTTAACTTGTTTAGTTAACGAGGAAACTTTAAAGAGCTCAGTTTGGACTGAAGGAAGAAGTATTTTTAATTTAAAAAAGCTCATCTTTTATGATTATCAATTCATTTTCTTCTGTTTTGTTCCTTTTCTTTCTTAATCAAAGCACATGTTATTGGCATGTGTGACAAATTGAAGTTTTAGAAGAAGACAAAAACTAAAAATATAATGAAAATTTAGACCAATCAGGACTCAGATCTGCCAGGGCTTCCAGTCCTGGTCCTGGAGGGCTGCTACCCTGCAGGTTTTAGAGRTTTCTCTGCTYCARCTCACCTGATTTGAATAAATGTGTTATTAACAAGCTTCTACAGAACTATAAGAGGTCATTAAATCACTGAATCAGGTGTGTTGGAGCAGGGAAACAAGCAGGATAGAGGCCCTCAGATTCCAGGCTTTGACATTTCTGATCTTGAAGCTGCTGTATTGTTATTTTGTTTTGCCTTATTGAACAAAAAGYCCAAGACGGTGAGTCCTGATACAAAGTTTCAAGTCTGACGACAGTTTGAAGCAGATCGTACGAAGAACAGGGGAGGAAACAGGAATGTTCTGACTGGATGGATAAATGTAAAAATAATAGCTACTTTTGAAACCAACTTTTTAAACCTACTAGTTTATCAGATAAGAATGTGGTCAAATATTCAAACAGATTTGGCCTCATTGATGGCTTCTGAAAGGAATCAGGCACCGTGCAACTTTGAAGGAGATTATTAATTTATTGTAATTATTATGCATGGTCCCTGTGCTGGTCTGACGATCAGTTGGGGGTTCCTGAAGATCGGCTCCAGCCCACTCTTTGTGAACAGAATGTACAGAAAAAAAGATGGGAGGTAACTCTAGGAGGTGAACGACCTCCTCTTGTGCACTTTCCCCTCTTCACCTCACATCTAGTTGGCAGTAGGTCACCAGCACATGACATCAGAGGGAGTGATACAAATTTAGACCTCACCTAATTCACGAGTAGACGACAGAACATCCCCCCTCCGTCACATGCAGGCAGTCACGAAGCGTTCCCAGATCAAAGGCAACACATCCAGTGGTGTGTGCACACAAACAGCAACTATAATTAACTGGACTGCAGCCTCTTGTGATGGAAACAGTGGTCACACTGCAWCATAACGGAGACCTGTCAAACTGCCCACATTCAGTGAAGTCAGGATAACCTTCAGCTGAAGGTCC